GTGCTGGATCTGGGACTCAAATGTGGTCTATGACACCCAGCCCAGATTGTGCCTTGGCTGGGGCAGAATCTCTGTGGGGTATTTAAGAATGTAGCTTGAGGGTCAGAAAGTGTCCCATTCTGTTCTGAGAGACTTGGCATCTGTCCAAAGAGAGGATCCCCGCTGAGGAAGGCAGACACATCCCCATTGAAAATTAATAAAATCAGTTTCTAGATCAGTTTCTTGTCAGTTTTGAACCAGAAATGGGCATCCACGAGACTGGCGGGCCCTGGTCCATTCATCGCCTCATTAGTTCACTTGCTCATCAAACCGTCTCTGCAAACCTGCTTGGGACCGTGCTGTGAGCATGAGGCAGCCCCAGAGAGGAGCACTGGATCTCAGCACATGGGGACTGGGGGGCCTTATGGCGGCAGAGGCACCACGCCCCATGGGGTGGGGACAGCAGGAAGCACAGAGCTGAGGGCACCAAGGAGGAGCCTCTGGGAGCCAGGGTAGTCACATTTCTGGCCCTGACTGCTTGAGGACCAGCTCCCAGAACAGGTGTCCTGCCTGGGGATGGTCATTCCTCAGCCCTGTCACCTTCAGCGAGTTTCCAACTGCAGGACAGGCAGGAGCTGTGAGAGCCTTTGGTGTATCCTTAGTTCTGACACTGAACCAGAGGAGCCTTCCTTCCCAGAGGAGGAGGCATCTGGTCTGGAGGGATGGAGAATTTTTGAGGTAGGGTGGGGAAGGGGCATTCCAGGTGAGGGGCCATGTGAATGAAGGCATGGATGTGGGAGGCTGGGGCTCAGCCAGGAAACATCCAACAGCCAGAGAGGACGACATCAGGTCGGGGGAGGGAGCCAGGAGGAGAGGAGGGGAGGGAAAAGCAGGGTGATCATGGAGTGGCCGGTATGTCACACTGAATGCCAAAGGCAGTGGGGCATCACCATGGGGCATTAAGCAGGGAAACTGGATCCATTATGACCTTTAATTACAGCAGCCCAAGAAAGAGATGCCAAGGGCATGGACCAAGGGGTAGAGCAGAGGGGGCGGTTGAGGGCTGTTTACTGGTAGAACTCATGGACCGTAGGGCCCTTCTGGGGACTGGAAGGGTGGCAGGGCTGGTGGGGGGTGGTCCAGGATACCTAGGAGGGAGCACCTGACCTCCTGCCCTGGGCCTTGCTTTCTCCAACAGGATGCCAGTCTCAAGGGAAAGAGAGGGTTGAATTGGTCCCTGAGGACAAGAAAGGTTGAGAGGCTCATTTTAGCACTTAAATGCCAGCATACTCTAAATGGAGGACGCCCTGAGCATGGGCCAGGAGAATCATGGCAAAATCAGAGCATGAGCTCTCGTTTCCTCATACCGGGTCAGCCGTGGAGGTTCAGGCAGGTGGAAAGCAGCCATCTCCAGGCAGGGACTGCTGGTGCTGCAGGTGGGCCCCTTGGGAGAGAGGCAAGTGGTCTCAGCAGTCATCCAGTTTGGGGCCTCTTCTGTGGCCTGTGGCACTTCTCAGATAAACATCCAGAGGCATGGGCACCATACGTTACTAGGGTATATTATTTTACCCTCTCCTCTCCCTCAGCTAAAGCCATCCACATGCCCCTGGGGATTAAGACGCTGTCATGCTAGCACTCTGGGAGGCTGAGGTGGGAGGCCAGGAGTTTGAGACCAGCCAGAGCAAGAGTGAGACCTCGTCTTTACAAAAAATAAAAAAAATTAGCCAGGTGTGGTGGCACATGCCTATAGCCCTGGCTATTCAGGAGGCCGAGGCAGGAGGATCACTTGAGCCCAAGACTCTGAGGTTGATATGAGTTATGAGGACACCATGGCCCTCTACCCAGGGGTGACAGAGTGAGACTCTGTCTCAAAATAAAACAAAAAACCAAGATGCTTCATTTACAGAACAAGGAAACCAAGGCTAAGACAGAAATGTCCAAGTGCATTTGGCATACCAGTAGCAGGGCGAGGACTAAACGCCAGGAGTCTAAGCACACACAGCCAGCGTTTGCTGAGCGCTTACCTCAAAGTGGCCACAGTGGTAAGAGCTTCGCCTTTAATCCTCACGGCATGAGGTATGTGATGTTTTTAGGATACCTTGGAGAGGCGGGGCAGCTTGGCTGGGGGGACAGAGCCAGGTGTACCAACTCTGAGGTATGGGTACATGTCACTGTTTCATGCTGGCGTAGGAGGTCTGGGAAGGCTTCCTGGCAGGTGTGATGTCTGAGCAGCGCCGTGAAGGAAGATTGGGAGTAAACCAGGTGGGAAGCAGGGAAAGGCCATTCCAGGCCGAAGAGATGCTGGGAGCCAGACAGGAGGGGGCCTGGGCAGGGGGCAGTGCGGGGAGGGTGCTGGGCCCCCAGGGCATGTGATGTAGCCCCAGCTGCCTGGAGCAGGAGGACAAGCCTTGGATCCTGGGCTGCAGAGAGGGAACTTGATTCTGGAAGCTGCCGGTCTGGCAGAGGTTTGGGCAGGAGGAGCGCATCTGACTCCTCCTTCAGAGGAGGGGCTGCTCTGTATGTGAGGACCAGGTCACAGCGCCAGACTCTCCTGCAGGTCCCTGAGAGGAGGCAAGAGTGAACCCTGGGAAGCAAATGCCATGTGGGAGCAGCAAAGCTTCCCGCAGAAGAAAGGGGTGCTGGGCTCTGCGCTGGGGCTTTAGTGGGTGTTCAGTGAGCTCACGGTCCAGGCATCACTGCAAACCCTTACCAGTTGCGTTTCTGGTGTCCCATTTTCTGAGATCTCCCCCGCACTGCGGGGACCTGTTTTGGTTACTCACACTTTGCAGAGGCATAGAGAGATGATGTTGCCCACCCAACATCATACAGCTTTTAAGACCCAGGGAAGATCCAGATAGGCCCATCGTACCCCTTGTGTTGTCTCGCTCTTTCTCAGCCACATCTCTCTAGAGGGCAGAGCCAGAGCCCAGAGCAAAGGGCTACAGCCTGTGAACAGGAGGCGGCTGCAGAAGAACAGGTGTGTGTTTGTTTCCTGTTTGTTTGTTCTTCCCTTCGGAGAAGAGCAGGTGCCATCGCAATCCCCCAAACAGCACTCCCTAAGCTGGGTCCAGGCAGCCCCTCCCCGTCTTACGTCAGCAGAGCAGCCTGGAGCGAGGACTCAGGCAGCCAGAGTCAATATTTGTCATCTCTGTCTCCCTGGCCCCGGCCCCAGGATCAGTACTTTAAGAACAACTGGTTTTTTGCTGTGCAAACAGGCAGGGATAGACTAGTGGAATTTAAAGTGGCTTAGGCCGGGGCCCAGGGCTTGGGCTGGAAATCTGCTCTGGTTTAACTCTCTGCCATCACTGTTTGCCGGGGACTCTCCTTTCATCCTTAGACTCACAGAACCGCAGACGTTAGGGCAGGCAAGGCCCTCAGAGCCCACTCAGGCTTTTGACAAAAGAGGATATTGCTTCCCAGAGAGGAAAGGGACCAACTCAAAGTTGCGCTGCCTGGAGGTTCCCACTAGGATTCCGAGGGCCACCCAGCAGCAATTCCAGGTCAAAGTAGAAGGGATATTTATGAGTCTTTTAAAATATGTGTGTGTGTGTGTGTGTGTATGTGTGTGTGTGTTTATGTGGCTCAGTACCTGTAGCTCAGTGAGTAGGGCACCGGCCATATACATCAAAGCTGGTGGGTTCGAGCCCAGCCTGGGCCTGCTAAACAACAATGACAACTGCAGGCGGCGTCTGTGGCTCAGTGGGCAGGGCACTGACCCTATATACCGAGGGTGGGGGGTTCAAACCCGGCCCTGGCCAAACTGCAACAAAAAACTAGCTGGGTTTTGTGGCGGGTGCCTGTAGTTCCAGCTACTCTGGAGGCTGAGGCAAGAGAATTGCCTAGGCCCAGGAGTTGGAGGTTGCTGTGAGCTGTGTGACG